CCAGAGCCCGGGCCCGCGGCGGCGGCCGGAACAGAAAAGCGGTGCCCGGGATGAGGGACAAACTGGGCGAAGGCCTGGCAGCAGCAGGCGCTGCGAGACCCGCGCCGGGGGGCTGCGGGAAGCAGGAGGCTCGGGCTGTGCTCTGCCGGCGGCTTTTTCTTTTCTCGTCTGCGTCCCTGCTCTTCTTGTCTATCCCTTTTATCCCGTCCCGACTGTGTTTGCGGCCACTCCACGAAAACCGTCTGGCTGTGTTAAACAAAACATGCGGCTTGTGGACGTGAAGCACTGAGGAGACAGAGCTGGAAGAGCAGGGCTTGCTGCTGACAGCGAGCCTAAAAGAATATGAATGTTCCCTGCAGATCCTCACTTGACTAGAAATTTTAAAAAATCTTCTGTTGATGTTGAACATCTCTCTGACTTCCTCTCAGACGCATCCGGCAGTTCTGAGGCGCAACCCTGTGGACATGGGGCGAGGCCGTGCAGCCCCTGTCGGTGGCAGCCCTCTGGCCCCCTGCTTGGTGAGCATTGGTTCTGAAATATCAGCCCTTGTTTGGGGATAAACAGCCTTAAGACTTCTGATTGGCAACCTCGTACTTCCGTAAATCCAGCTGCAGCATATGTTAGCGATAGAAAACTTCATTATGTCAATTTGTTTGGAGGTTAATAAAGGCAGAGACTCTTGCTTACAGTCCACATAAATTCAGGGACACAATAATAAGTGTTGCTTGCCTGGCTAATAGGGAACGACACCTTTGGATACTAGCTTGATTTGCAATGCTCATTTGTGCCTTTTAAGTTGTTTTTTCACTGATACTTGGGGGAGGAAACTAGGAGAAAACTTTACATCCAAAGAGAACTGGATGCCGTCATATTGTCCTATATTCCTGTCATCTCCCATTCTATAATCTTGAATATCTTTGAAGTGTAGGGTATTTGGAAGTATGTTATTTTGATAGGTACTTATTAATTGCTACACTTCAACTAGAACTGGTTAGTTTTCAGTCTGACTCCCTTTTCTAATCTCTCAGTTTTTTTCGTTGTCCATGGTGACATTTTAAAATTAGATTTGAATAGTGAAAAGATTTCTTAAAGAACATGAGTGCTGCAGATAGTGTTTAAAGATATGCTAGAGCAGAGTAAGCATAATGCTAATTTTCCATGACAACTAACTTGTCCAAACAAGCAGTGGATAACTGCCTGGACATGTCCGCTGGCCAAATATAGATTCTCAGCAACCGTGGCACCTTGTAAAAATTCCAGCAATGGTTTAAACCTAGATATTTGTGTGGTGACGGATTTTCAAGACGAGCTTGTTATTCCTCTAGAGCATAAAGCTCAAGGTCTAGTGAGAGACAGCTGCCAGAATTTTGCAAAGCATGCTCACCTCCTGTTAGCACCGGAGTTTCAAGGCAGACAGAAATCCAGTTTAAGTGGAATGCCCGGCCACCGGCAAAGTCAGATATCTGCTCATTTCCACCCAGCACCCCAATTACTGAGATCCTTAGCTAGCAAGCTTCACCATTAGGAGAAAATTATGTCTACACAAAAATGCAAGAGGATAGAACCGAATGGCTACATTCAGTTGATGTAATACTGAACAGCAGTGTTACTGATGCTCTATCTTGTCCTGATGTGGCATGAAAACTATTTAATTCCTATACAGAATGCATTTTACTGAACTGAAGCAGAACAAAAATAGAGTGTTTATGTAGTTCTCCCAAAAATATATCACATTATTGAGCCTTGTCTTAAGCACAGTATCATTTTGCTAAGGCTGTGTGGGAATTAAGGTGCTTTTTAAATTAGCAATAGATTTTCTACAGTCCAAGACTTACCAAACTGGAACTATGACTTTCTTTTTCTATTTCTCAACCAATAAGTGTCTTGTGACCAATGACTTTGAGATTAAATTGGGATTCTTTAAATAATAACTTCCCTTAGCGATTCATCAACTGCTAAGGATAAAAAAAAGACCCAACAGGTTCTGTCTAGAATTTTTATCAGTCTTCAAGGACAATCTTACCTCTTTTCTCAGACAGACTAATCTCAAGTAAGGGGAGGCTGCGAGTAGGTAAAACACGCTGTCTGTGCTTGCTTAGGGAGATAGGGGGATATTTTCTGACACGCAGTGCTGCACCACTTCTGTCCTGTTTGTCACTAATACAGCACATGCTATGTCTTCAACATGCATAATCATTTTCTTATGCTTGATAATTCTGGACAAATATAATTAAAAAGTTTTACTTGAAGGGTAATAAGCTTGTATAGTTATGAGAGCTGACCACTAATTCAAGGTCCTAAAAAGAAAAGGAGACATCACTACAGTAAGACCCCACCTGTGTATTTTATTTATCATGCTCAGAAAATATCTGGAGCAGATGTAGCCCAAGTGCCTTAACTGGAGATACCCACTTAACGTTGTGGTTAACTAACATGGTATGATGTTTTTAATATAAATTCAGATTCTAACTGTAGACATTTCATTGTTTAATGCTTGCAAGCTGAATTCTTCATGAGATGGGTCTAGTCTACCTATAGGTGTGTGTGCCAGAGGAAAGATGGGTCGCTGTGCTGCGGGGTGCCCAACTCAAGTGAACGGATGGACCGTTAAAGACTTCCATTTCAGATTTTTGTTCCTCACCGTAATTCTTTCCCCCCCCCCCCCCCCCCCCCAACATATCCTGCTTACCCTTTGCTGGCTGCTGCCTAGTCAGCATCCAGCACTTACATGAAATGGTCCGAAGTTCCCAGATGCTGATCGGAGGCATGGGTGGCCAGGGTTTGTCAGGTCTCATCTCTGACCCGTTTGCTGCTTCTTGGCTATCAGATGAGTTAACCTCACGTGCTGTCTATCAACTGCTCCCGGACAAAAAAAAAAAAAAAAATTTCAAAAAAAGCCTCTGGGGCCTTACATTGTGCTGATATATCCTTTCCGAAGCCTTAGACTGCATCTCTATTAGTGTGACACAAAGCTGTGATCAGTCATGTGCTGCAGGTTGTCAGGCATGGCAAGATAAAAGGATGGAAAAAAGATGCTGAAATGCAGCTGGGGCATGTGTGGCTTAACGGGGCTTTCTGCCAGGCCTGTCTGCTGCAGCCGTGACCCCACATGCCAGACAGTCTGTCAGTACACTTCTGTACAAATACAAGAGGAAGAATTTTTGTTGTTTTCTTGACATTCCTGTTTTGTTGTGTAAGAAAAAGCACGTTGGTAAGAAATCCTCATGCCAGTAATAGCATATTCGGTTCAGAGAACTTACACCTCATAAGCTAAGACCTATCCCAGTGGAGAGGTCTATCAGTACCTACAGTACCACCACCGGAAACGTCTTACTGTAAATGACACCCATATTCTACTAAATGAAAAGGGGACGCAGCCTTCCTGGGGGCAATTTTGAACAGACAGTAATGACAGGCAGGAATCAAGAGCAAGGCTCGTAGCAGCGGTGGGAACCCAAACACCACATGGGATGCTGTCGCAGCTACTTAACAGGGAACACTAAGCTGTACTTTGCTGTTAAACTTGTGTTTTTCTGGTGTGCAGGAGCTGTGTTTTTGAGCTGCCCAGGGCTGCACTGCCCTTTCCAACAATCCCAGCTGCTCTGTGGGCTGGGTGGCACAGCAGGCGTTCTGCAGCTTCACCTACATCTGCACCCTGGGCTTAAATATCTGCAGTATTTTATGGGTGGTTTGGATATGAGATGGGCGGTTTCCTACATTTCTGTAACTTCAGATTCAACCTTGTTTATTTTGAAAAATATAAAATGACTTCAGGTGGACTGGCAAAGATGGCCTCAAATAAAATGTTTTTCTAGCAGCCGTTCACAAGCTCTTACCTCCCTCCCGCAGGGACTCAGTTCAGGTGTGCCCTGCTCTTGCAAGCGTTAAGTACAAGCTTCTTCAAAACCACCCGAAGCTGGAACAATCCCACATCAGAAGACAGAAGTTCTTCTGCTTTTGTTTAGTTGTTGTTCACATTCCTTCATACATCTGGGAGACATTGGTAGTCTGTCTGCCCAAATCTGATTCCTATTTGGTAGCAGCTCAGTCATCCACAAGCAAAATTAAACCAATAGTGTATGCCTTCTGAAGGGAGGCCAACTGGCA